CCTGGAACTCACTTTGTAGACCAGGCTGGCCTCGAACTCACTGAAATCCACCTGCCTCTGCCTCCCAAGTGCAGGGATTAAAGGCGTGTGCCACCGCCACCACCTGTCAAGAAATTCTTGAAAACCCAGAGAGATTTCCATTTCAAAATCCAAGAATCCTGTCAGTTGCCTGATTTATTTCACTTTGAAAAAAAATATATGTATTGATGCTATTGTATTGCCTAGAGCAGGCAAGGGTAAGACAATCTCGGATGCCTACAGACGTACCATGTGTTCCTGTAAACAAATGTCTTGTTTCTGTGAGAATTGAGCAACACCTCACCACACCCAAGAAGGTATACAAAATGGAGAAGTTCAAAATATTATTTCTACTTCTATTTTCTGTATGTCTTCTAAAGGGAAATTAATTCAATAGTGTTTTTTTTTTTAATTCACTGTTCTTCCCTTCCCCCTGCCCCACCCAGAGAATGTCTAACAAGATGTTTCAGACTGTCAACTAAATAATACAATGTCCCCCCACCTTTGAATGTGCTGTCACCATGTTTGTGTCTCCTCTTTTGTGAATGGCTTGCAGATTGACAGAGACTGGCAACTAAGGCCACCCAGCCAGATCTCACTCTTTTCATTAGAATGTCAAATTAACTGAGCAAACTGATTCTGTTAACCAGAACATACTAAGATAGGTCTATCAAACTGCCATCAGATGAAAACAAAATAGGCCAATATTTCCTAATTGAAGGGTCTTTTCTTTATGGTTGTGAACCTAGCCCTTTAATGGCTGAGCCATCTCTCCAACCCCTAACAGTTTGTTTTGTTGTTGTTGTTGTTGTTGTTTTGTTTTTTGTTTTTAATGGGAGATACATCTATGGTTCAAAAATGAAAACTCCACTTTAAAAAAAAGCATTCTGTAACCAGGTCAAATAGTTAAAACTAAACCACAAATGAATTGGCAAGTAAAAAAATGCACCTGCCATAAATAAACAATCTTTACAACTAGGGCTATTTCAAGGTCTGAAAAGATAGTCAAATGTGTGCCACTCGATCCTGAGGTTCAGATCCAGGTGCAGTGGCATATGCCAATGAGTCCAGTTCTGGGGAAGTAAGGCCAGGAGGGTCTCTGAACTGGCCAGCCAGCCTGGATGAATTGGTGAGCTTTATGTTTAATGAAAGATGCTGTCTCAAAAATTAAGATAATAAGCCATAGAGGGTAACCATTCACATTCTCTTGCTCTCTCTGCCTCTTGCTTATGGGTCAGAAGTAAGGTCTCAACTCAGCTACTGCTCCAGCACTATGTCTTTGCCTGTCTGTTGCCGTACCCCCTGCTATGATGGTCATGGACATAACCCTCTGGAACTGTAAGCAAGCCCCCAATAAACTCTTCTATAAGTTGTCTTTGGCATAGCGTCTCTTCACAGCAGTAGAAAAGTAACTGAGACAGAAGTCTAAGGACATTTCCATTAATGATATAGCACTACCAAGAGAAATGGTGCTGTTAAAGTACCATTGGTCACTGGACTGGCTGGCTTTGTGTGTCAACTTGACTCAAGCTAGTCATCAGAGAAGAAGGAGCCTTAGTTGATGAAATGCTTCCATGGGGTACAGCTGTAAGTCATTTTCTCAATTAGGGCTCAATGGGAGAGGGCCCAGCCCATTGTGGGTGGTGCCACCCCTGGGATGGTGATTCCTGGTTCTTTAAGAAGGCAGGCTGCCCACCCCACATCTGACAGAGG